TCCCTAGGTACTGGAGCTATATCTTCCCTAGGTACTGGAGCTCTGTCTTCCCTAGGTACTGGAGCTATATCTTCCCTAGGTACTGGTATAACGGGCTTGTTTGGTAGGAGTAGCGGGTTGTGAATGATACGTCTTCGGAGGCTTCTTACTTTATTGTTAAGTAGTGGTGGGTTACACAGGCTTGTGTTTGTGCCCATGGCCCGGGAGGGCCATACCCACGAGCTGGGAGGCCTTGTGTGTGGTTGCTAGGCCGCTGTGAGAGTGAGGGAGAGGCATGGGCCGGCAGGCTGGCGTGCCTACCTAGAGGCCTGGCTACAGAGGGCAGCACCTGAGTGGCGCGAAATATGAACTAAGCTGGCAGACAGCATGGGCTGTCTGTGCAGACAGTACAGGCTGTCTACATATGAAAGTTAAGACACATGTGCAACATCTGGATATCTTTATTGTAGTAGACGTTTCGCCATCCAGTGGCTTTATCAATACAGATTCTAGGACATAATAGGAAGACAGTAGAACTATATACAAAAGATGAGGTAATCAGTCCCTCGGCCTTGGAGTTAGTGTTCACAGCATCGTGGTGGAGGAGAGTCTGGAGCAAAGGCAAGAAGACTGGCGCTTTTTATAGGCGTCAGTGAATGGGACGGGCAGCAGACGAGGGCAGTCACTGGTAGGCGGGATTCCCCAGTGGAAGTAGGTCCTTCCCAAAGAGATGGGTTAGTTGCAGCAGCCGTGAAGAAGGTCTTGTAGATGTCCTCTGAACCAAGATTCCATGATGTTGCAGTGTCTGACAAGTTGTGCAAGAAAGGTATAAAATACCGACAATATGAAAGTTAAGACACATGTGCAACATCTGGATATCTTTATTGTAGTAGACGTTTCGCCATCCAGTGGCTTTATCAATACAGATTCTAGGACATAATAGGAAGACAGTAGAACTATATACAAAAGATGAGGTAATCAGTCCCTCGGCCTTGGAGTTAGTGTTCACAGCATCGTGGTGGAGGAGAGTCTGGAGCAAAGGCAAGAAGACTGGCGCTTTTTATAGGCGTCAGTGAATGGGACGGGCAGCAGACGAGGGCAGTCACTGGTAGGCGGGATTCCCCAGTGGAAGTAGGTCCTTCCCAAAGAGATGGGTTAGTTGCAGCAGCCGTGAAGAAGGTCTTGTAGATGTCCTCTGAACCAAGATTCCATGATGTTGCAGTGTCTGACAAGTTGTGCAAGAAAGGTATAAAATACCGACAATATGAAAGTTAAGACACACTGTGCAACATCTGGATATCTTTATTGTAGTAGACGTTTCGCATCCAGTGGCTTTATCAATACAGATTCTAGGACATAATAGGAAGACAGTAGAACTGTATTATGTCCTAGAATCTGTATTGATAAAGCCACTGGATGGCGAAACGTCTACTACAATAAAGATATCCAGATGTTGCACATGTGTCTTAACTTTCATATTGTCGGTATTTTATACCTTTCTTGCACAACTTGTCAGACACTGCAACATCATGGAATCTTGGTTCAGAGGACATCTACAAGACCTTCTTCACGGCTGCTGCAACTAACCATCTCTTTGGGAAGGACCACTACTTCCACTGGGGAATCCGCCTACCAGTGACTGCCCTCGTCTGCTGCCCGTCCCATTCACTGACGCCTATAAAAAGCGCCAGTTTCTTGCCTTTGCTCCAGACTCTCCTCCACCACGATGCTGTGAACACTAACTCCAAGGCCGAGGGACTGATTACCTCATCTTTTGTATATAGTTCTACTGTCTTCCTATTATGTCCTAGAATCTGTATTGATAAAGCCACTGGATGGCGAAACGTCTACTACAATAAAGATATCCAGATGTTGCACATGTGTCTTAACTTTCATATTGTCGGTATTTTATACCTTTCTTGCACAACTTGTCAGACACTGCAACATCATGGAATCTTGGTTCAGAGGACATCTACAAGACCTTCTTCACGGCTGCTGCAACTAACCCATCTCTTTGGGAAGGACCTACTTCCACTGGGGAATCCCGCCTACCAGTGACTGCCCTCGTCTGCTGCCCGTCCCATTCACTGACGCCTATAAAAAGCGCCAGTCTTCTTGCCTTTGCTCCAGACTCTCCTCCACCACGATGCTGTGAACACTAACTCCAAGGCCGAGGGACTGATTACCTCATCTTTTGTATATAGTTCTACTGTCTTCCTATTATGTCCTAGAATCTGTATTGATAAAGCCACTGGATGGCGAAACGTCTACTACAATAAAGATATCCAGATGTTGCACATGTGTCTTAACTTTCATATTGTCGGTATTTTATACCTTTCTTGCACAACTTGTCTACATATGCTCGGCCGCCTACCGCGCGTCGTCCCGACGCGGCAATACTGGTGGTAAAAGAAACTCGGTCTCTCTCTCGTAGGAACAGGGCACAGAACACAAAATAAAAACATATATATACATATGGACATGGAAAAAAAACTTCCTACAGGGAGGGAAGAAAAAACATGGGGTGTGCTAAACATCGTGGTCAAAGGCAATGAGCGTCGAAGGGCATCACTGCACGCCTTCCTGCGTCTGGACAGGTACTGCAACACGGGAGACATCGCTGCGGCTGAGCTGTGACGTAACAGGGTACGGTCTCCTCTGGTGAAGCAGTCATCGTAGGAGTCGCTGCAGGTTTTCACTCAACCTAGGGCACGACATGCTGGTGCCCTCGAGTGAGGCGTCGACAAAACTCGGCAACTGGGCAGGACTTCTGGCAAGCGACTCAGGAGGACACTTCTTGACTGGTACTGTCGCTGGGCTGTCACTGCTGGCGAGCGTGGAGCGAGTTGTGGAGCGAGTCGTGGCAGAGACGACTGGGCGAAACATCTGGGAGTCGTAACATCATACACCAGACTGCAGTGAGAGAGCTAGCAGTCAAAGTGACATCATCTTTGTGCAGGCTGCTCACTGAAGCTTGTGACACGAGGCTGACACAGCATGTCATTCTCTCGGCAGTTGGAGTTACAGCAGAGGTTAGTCTAAGCGTCCCCAGACTTGTTTCTCTACATATAACTTCACTCTGACGGTCTGGAGGTGAAGTGAAACAAATCTCGATGGGAATCGTAGCAGGTACGATTCTGCAGAACATCACGAGCGACGAGCATAAAAGCTTTCTGTACAAGGGGGCTCGTACGCTCAGGGCTGTCTGATAACAGCTGTCAGACTCACAGTGGTGTACTCAGGTCTGGCACAGACCTCACTGGTCACACGGAATTTTAAACACACCGCTGTACAACATGGCTTAAACTAGCAAAAGATGCTTTTCTGTGCACAAAACTGACACTAAGACATACTAAAATGTGAGAACACTGACTGAGAGGAATTAATTAACACGACATATATCTTCTCTCGATCTTCTCGACAATACTGAAATAATTACTAGAAACACTCGATGTGACATCATGTGATGTCAGGCGTGATGTCGCGAGGTGACGTCAGCAGCACTGTGACGTCAGCAGACATCTCGAGGTGACGTCAGGGAGACATCATGAGGTGACGTCAGCAGACATCGTGAGGTGACGTCAGCAGACATCGTGAGGTGACGTCAGCAGACATCGTGACGTCATGAAGTCGGGCAGCATCGTGGGTGACGTCAATGTGATGCGGGCAGCAGACCACAGCATGTGGCCTTGGGACATCTGGTAACAATATACTCAGATCACAACATACAACACATTACTAGCACGTCTAACATGGTCATTGTCTTCAAGCTTCACATTGTTCCACTGGAGCAAAACTTCCTCAGACTGAGGGACTGACAACCTCAGAACTAAATCTTTAGTGAACATTAAAATGGTATAAAATACCGACAGATTGTTAGGTAAGACACATATGCAACAGTTAGGTATCTTTATTTCGAAACGTTTCGCCTACACAGTAGGCTTCTTCAGTCGAGTACAGAAAAGTTGATAGAAGCAGAAGATACTTGAAGACGATGTAATCAGTCCATCACCCTTAAAGTTTTGAGGTGGTCAGTCCCTCAGTCTGGAGAAGAGCATTGTTCCGTTGTCTGAAACAATATGAAGTTGAAGTGACAGAATGGGGCCTTTTATAGTGCCAGGAGGTGAGACGTAGGTTGCTTTGGGAGGGCAGGTCCCTCTCAAACTCAGCCGTTCTCACTAGTAGAGGGTCGAAGTTGATGGTCTGTACCAAGATACCCTTGTGTTGCAGTGTCTGACAGAATGAACATTAAAATGGTATAAAATACCGACAGATTGTTAGGAACGGCTGGGTTTGAGAGGGACCTGCCCTCCCAAAGCAACCTACGTCTCACCTCCTGGCACTATAAAAGGCCCCATTCTGTCACTTCAACTTCATATTGTTTCAGACAACGGAACAATGCTCTACTCCAGACTGAGGGACTGACCACCTCAAAACTTTAAGGGTGATGGACTGATTACATCGTCTTCAAGTATCTTCTGCTTCTATCAACTTTTCTGTACTCGACTGAAGAAGCCTACTGTGTAGGCGAAACGTTTCGAAATAAAGATACCTAACTGTTGCATATGTGTCTTACCTAACAATAAATCTTTAGTGTTGATGGGACTGATCACATGGTGTGTGCAACTCCTGCTGCCTCCTCTCCCCTGACTGAAGAAGCCTGCTGTGACGGCGCAACGTTTAGGAATAAATATATAACTTGCACGTGTCTTACTTATAAACTCATTACTTACAATAATATGGATATGAAAACTTTTTAGATAACTCGAAAAATAGTAATTTGTAGAAATTGTGAGTTTGGTTGTGATATATATATATTATATATTAAGTTTATTAAGTGGGACTAACGCCACTTACATCTTATAAATTAAAATAACATCAATAAAATTCTCTTTACACGGGTAAAACAATAGTAATTTGTGGAAATTATGAGGATGAGTAGGGGACATATTTTATGTTAGGTTTATTAAGTGGTAAAATAAGTGGTTGTTGATGTTATATAGAGAGTTTGTGAAGGTGTAGTGGCGGCTCACTACTACTCTGCTAGTAAACAAAACTATGTTGCTGGTTCTTCCTGCCTCTCTGTTTGTCTTATTACCTTCTTTATCTGGTCCACACGCACCCCAACACCTGGATACACTCTTACAGGAAGCTAAGATGAGCAGATACCAGGTGTAGCTACTGTGTGAACTACAAGATTTGAAGAGTTATTGTGAGGGCGCCATCAGTGAGGGAAGCAGTTAGTGTCAGCAGCAACACCGGGGCATCATGAAGCAGGGGTTGTTTCTCTCAGTGTACAGGGGTAAGTGAAGCAGGTAGTGTCAGCAGCAACACCGGGGCATCAAGAAGCAGGAACTTGTACTCTCAGTGTACAGGGGTAAGTGAAGCAGGTAGTGTCAGCAGCAACACCGGGGCATCAAGAAGCAGGAACTTGTACTCTCAGTGTACAGGGGTAAGTGAAGCAGGTAGTGGCAGCAGCAAAACCGGGGGAATCAAGAAACAGGAACTTGTACTCTCAGTGTACAGGGGTAAGTGAAGCAGGTAGTGTCAGCAGCAACACCGGGGCATAATGAAGCAGGAAGTTGTACTCTCAGTGTACAGGGGTAAGTGAAGCAGGTAGTGTCAGCAGCAACACCGGGGCATCAAGAAGCAGGAACTTGTACTCTCAGTGTACGGGGTAAGGTGAAGCGGGTTTAGTGTCAGCAGCAACACCGGGGCATCAAGAAGCAGGAACTTGTACTCTCAGTGTACAGGGGTAAGTGAAGCAGGTAGTGTCAGCAGCAACACCGGGGCATCAAGAAGCAGGAACTTGTACTCTCAGTGTACAGGGGTAAGTGAAGCGGGTTTAGTGTCAGCAGCAACACCGGGGCATCATGAAGGAGGAACTTGTACTCTCAGTGTACAGGGGTAAGTGAAGCAGGTAGTGTCAGCAGCAACACCGGGGCATCAAGAAGCAGGAACTTGTACTCTCAGTGTACAGGGGTAAGTGAAGCAGGTAGTGTCAGCAGCAACACCGTGGCATCAAGAAGCAGGAACTTGTACTCTCAGTGCACAGGGGTAAATGGCACCTCATAGGGGCTTCCCTCTCACTCATCAATGGTTCTTCATCCAGGGAATTAGTTATCCTCCCGTTCCCTAAAGCAAACCAAATTATCTTCCATTTTCCAGGCTCTGACTGATCTCTGTTGATTTCAGACCCAATTGAATCAAGTCACTTCGACTTTGTTAGGTTAATCAAAGTAATTATCTCATATGTTATTTTGTAAGTCACTTTGACTTTTTTGGGAGTTATCCTAGGTAATTTACACTATGTATGATAATTGTATTTATGTGCACCTGTGCCTAAATAAACTTAAACTTATTTAAACTTGCTTGTTGATTCCACATAAATAACAGTAAGGGTGAATAAACATGCCCAAAACTAACAATTTTTGCCAAGTTATTGGTCATCTTATATCTAGTTATGTTTTAGTTTAGTTCAATGCTTTCATATGTAATAGGAACAGGACTAACTGTATGAAGGTGGTATTCATGTTGGAAATGGGGTGATAGCAAAGAGCATGAGAGAATGGAAAGATTGGTAGAAACTGCAACATACCAACAAGAGAGAATGAAATGGAAAAAGCTAAGTGATTTGGATAAAACAAAAGCTGTAGAACATTAATAAGACACATGTGCAACACCTGGGTATCTTTATTGTAGAGGTGCTTAGCCAACCAGTGGCTTCATCAGTTCAGTACAGAAAACAGTACTAGAGACAGACATGAAATAGTAGCCTGAGATGATCAGTCTCCCAGCCTTGAAAGGTGTTTTGATTGATCGAGACTGATGGACTATAGCAGATACCAAAGTGTAGCACAAGTCATATCTCTTTACCAGTTTTGCATAATATTAAAACCTGACATGATGTCTCCTTTGTTCCTGAAAGAAGGAGCAGAGGCTTTGTGAAAACTGCTAGTGACATCCTATCAGAAGTCCGAGGCAACACACTTTGGAATGCAGGAAAAGTCAAACGTTTTGGTATTCAAGGAAAATAATAGGCATTCAATATGAAGGTAAAGAATGGTATCCTTAATTTGCACACTATCTAAGGTAATGGAGAAGATAATGAGATTAGTGGATAACCTGGAGAGGCCTCATATTTTGAATGACAGCCAAACTTATGGGAGTTCTATCAGGTTAACAGATTAAGCAGGAAAAAGATTGGTAGGTGGCCTACATATTTCTGGACAGAAAGAATGCATTCATTGCTTGTTTCCCCACAAAAGTCTAGTCTACAACTAAAAAGAGCAGGCAAAAATAGCTGGAAATGTACTTTACTGAAATGTAGAATGTCTGAGCATTATTTTATCAGTGATCTTAGTTAATTTTTAGCTATGTAAAGGTTTGGATATTTCTTGCATTACAATATCACCTCAAGGGGATACTTAGGGCTATTAATTCAAGGAACTGGATTTATCCAACCCTTCAGTAGGTACTCTTTGACCTCTCTATGAACTTAGCACTTCCCGTTATTAAAATAAAAATATATTCATTGTCTTCAGTTTGTTCATTGGAAAATGCTAAACCCATAATGGTCATTTGGCACCTGTATTGTGAAAAAAATTGTGTCATTACGATTTCGTGAGTTCTGTATTGTGAATTTACGTAGAAGTTTGTAAGATTTATTTATCAAGTTTATTAAATTGCTAGAGTTTAATCATTATTATATATTTCTAGGGGAAGGTATGCAGCCCAAGGAGGGGTGGACTGTGGTGGTGACAGCTCATCTGGAAGGCAAAGTGGTCGCCAGTGATCCAGTGCCACTTTCCAGCAGCCCCATCTTTCGCCAAGAAATGTCTTGGGAAGTCTCCTCATCAATCTTTGACAAGTCAGTATCAAATATTTTGTGATGAAGGTGTTACAATTTGAAGACAAGTGTCTTCCTTTCCCATCCTGCTTAACATATGTACGTATTATAAATTGTGGTATATATTGCATATACTGTGACATCCTAATCAGCCAGACTATTTGTGCTTACAACTCAGTCCAATATTGATATGTACTACAGCTTGGCTGATCAGGAATGGGTTACAAGAATATTTCAAGATTCCTCATGGAGATAGGTACATGGCTAACTTTGCATCTGTTAACTCTTGAGATTTTTTTTTTTACCAATTTTGTGTACTGTACTCTTGTACAAAATAAAAATTCAGCTGTTGATTACAGGTACAAGAATGCCAAAGTGCCAGTACGCATTGAGTGTCATTCCCTTGACAGCAGTGGTTACCACCACTTGATTGGTTCCATCATCCTTCCACTCAGTTCCGCTGTTCAAGGAAGAAAGGTGAGCCTCGTACCACTGAGTGTTTTACAGTAGGGTTTTTTGGGAGGCTACATAACGCTTTTTAGTTGGTGTTGGGTCTGAGCAAATTGATGGTGCTTTAAACAGGTCATCTGCAATTCCTGATGAAGTGTTGAGGATAGTATAGTCTGGTGAAAATTTGTTCAAGAAGAGTGCACTCCTCTTAAAGAAATTCACACTGCCTGTGTGGAGAGTGCTAAGAAAAAACCTATGAGGACAAGATAAGATTTTGTTCGGATTTTTAACGCTGGAGGGTTAGCCACCTAGGATAACCCAAGAAAGGCAGTGTGTCAACGAGGGACTATCTGTCTATTTCCATTGGGGTCCTCACTTTTGTTCCCAGGATGTGACACACCAGTCAACTAATACATGGGTACATACCTACCTACTTGCTAGGTGGACGGGAACAGTAGGTGTAAGGAAACACATCCAGTGTTTTCACCCTCGTCAGGGATCGAACTACAGACACACTGTGTGTAAGGCCAGAATGTTGCCTGTTAGGCCATGGGACACCGTATTCAGTGGATTTCCAATAAACCTTGAACTAAAATATGTTCTTAGGCTTGCAGAGTAAAGCATCTTTGAATTGAGGCTTGTCACTGGTTTCCTCTTCATGTGTTGAGTTTACTTTGAAGGGAGAATATGTCGGATCATTATATTAATGGTATACAATGCTGATGAGTTGATGAATAGGGCAAGTATTGCACATATCTTGTTCATCATGTCAAATCATCAGGTGCCGGATCAACCAGGCTGTGATGGATATGTGGGGCAGCGGGCCTCCAGCAGCAACAGCCTGGTTGACCAGGCAAACGCCAGACGAGCCTGGCTCATGGCCGGGCTCAGAGAGTAGATAAACTCTCGAAACTTCTCAAAGGTATATCTTTATGTAATGATGAATAGTATGTCATTTATATAGAAAAGCAATGCAACAGAAGAGGAAATGATGGAGAACTACATAACTTTAACATGTTCCATATACGTAAGTGCTTGGTAGACTGCACTGAAAAGGAAAACCATAGGTAAGATAAAAGAGAATCTGTGAAGAAAAAAACACTTAAAATGTACATAATTCAATGAGGACGGAGGTTGTTAATGGTTCTGGGGATTAATGTTACTGAAGCATGGTTTTAGGCATATTTTCTTACAGATATTGTCCTTGTTTAGCTCTTCCTTTTGATTATAATAATAATGTCCTTGTTTGCCTAGTAGTAAGTAGGTATGAGGTTGTTGGGCACCTGTTATGGATGTCATCCAAGGTAAGAGGATCACTAAACCTCAGTGAAAATAAACCAGTTTGCCTGGCTTCCGTAGGTTATCCTGAATTACTAACCCTATGGGTTAATAATCTTGATAAAAATCTTCTTCGACAAGTGTAAACATAGTGCATGTATATTGTGCAGATTTATCAGCAGTATATCAGGGAAGGAGGGGCCACAAAATAGATACATGTGGCTGTTTTGTTAATTTATATAGTATTTTATTTGCTTCCTGCAGGTTGATCCAAAATGGCACATGTTGTTGGGTGGGCCATCGTCACTCCAGAGGATGTCTCCAAAACTGCTGCTTTCCCTCAATGTCACGCCTTCTTCACCATCATCCAAGGTGCTAGTTTAGAGAGTGTGTGTGTGTGTGTGTACATGTGTGTGATCGTGTGTGTGCGTTCGTTCATTTGTTCCTGGCCTCGCCTCTTTGCTGTGTGTGTGGGGTGTGTGTGTGTGCACACACCATATGCTTTTAGGTAGGGAGGGACAGGATGCAGTGTGATTACCTGTTTCACTGTTTACTTATTACATAATTTAAAAAATCCATTCACTTGAGTACTTTGTAGTATGTGTATCCTATTTTATTATTCTATCAATGTTTAAAAGCAAAAACTTGTAGGTTTCCTTTTTCTCGGTTTACAACTGTGGCCTTTTTAACTTCTCCCTCTTGATTGTGTTAAGAACTCTTATATATTTATTATTGATAATCTTTTATCATGGTTATTATTTACTTCATTCCTATCTGCCAACAAGGGCATTTTTAGTGTCTCGGCTTTTCTATACATACATGTACATGTATACATGTACGTATTTTTTTTAACATGGTGGCCATCTACTGCCGAGGCAAGATGACCCAAAAAAGAAAGTTTCACCATCATTCACACTATCACTGTCTTGCCAGAGGCACACAGATACAACAGTTTAGATGTCACTCTAAGCAGACATTTTGTAGTTGAAGCAGATGCTGACTTGATTGACTCTTGTTTTCTGTATTGTGTCTTCCTTTCTTGCTTGTCAGTGTGTTGTCTACTTACTTTTCAAATTATAATTTGCTATATAGTCTTATCTTTTGTTAACTTATTTTATTTTTACTTTATCTCCTGGGTTTTCCTTACCTAAATAATTTTATTATTCTCACATTATGTAGTGCTAAAGTAACCAGGCTGTGATGGTTATGTGGGCCAGTGTGGGATGGCAGTAGCAGCAGCCTAGTTGAACTGGCACTCAACAAAGCCTGGTCCAGACAGAACTGTGAGAATAGAAATTTCTTGAAACCAGTTGCAAATATGTAAGGCTTATGCATTATTTGTCTCTAGTATTGTACACTTTTTTTTATTTTATTTATTTTTTTTTTTTGCAGGGAGATGAGCCTATGCAAGTGAGCCACACAAGTGATGGTATAGATGGTGACAAGGGCACCAGAGAGTTAAAAGTGTCTTCTCGTCACCTGTCACAGCCAGATGTTGTTCTGAGGAAAAACTCTGTTAATTCTACTCGATCTGCTCGAGAGTTTAATAGTCTTTTGGTTGACTCCGGAAGAAATAATGCGTTAAGAGATGGTAAATTGATTACTGACTCTCTGATAAAACAGAATATGACTTTTCCCATGGGAGAAGTCATGATTTCTGAAAAAGGCTCAACCAGTATGGTGTCAAATTATGACACTCGAAACGCTGGTCGTTCAAGCACCAATAAACTACAACCATTACGGGATGCAAAGCTTGAGGTGAGGGAATACACCATAGATGATGATGACTACGATGACCCTGAGAAACGATTAAGTGCTAATTCATATAACTTGAGAAGCTCTAGGACACAGTTGGTTCACAAATATAATTCTGAACCACTTGAATATACCAGCTCAAGAAGCATTCCTCAACACTCTCCATCCAGCAGGAGTAAAGATGGTACCAGGCCTCTTCCTGGTGGTAGCCAGAGTGACATTTCTGAATCCCTGGCCAGTGGCCACAATACACCTAGGAGAACAAATCTACAGTCTGCTGCTCAAACTTCACCAAACATTATCAGAGAAAATGGTCACAAGCCTACTACATCAGCCACAAATGATAATGACTTTGTTTTGGCAATTGCAAGTACCTCCAGTGGAATGGTTGGAAAAACTGAGACCAATAATGACAAGACACAAATAATTCCTCGACTAAATGAAAACGGCGGCTTCTTCCAGATTGGTCCTGTTGGTGAACCGGATGAAAGAATGTTCCACTTCTCAGTCACTATAGTTTATGCCAAGAACCTTGACCAGGTATTTTTTTTTGTTCTGTTGTGTAAATTAGCTTGGTACACCAAAGTATGTTTTTTTCATTATGTTAAAGCTTTGCTACAGAGCTGGCAATTTAGGTATAATGTAATATATTTTAGAAATCATAAAACATTTCCATAGTGTTCAGAGTTTCTTGTGGCAGAGCATGCAGTTGATGAGTGGGTGGTTAGGATTGAAGAGAGGTAGCATAGTGAATAGAGGCTGCTGCTGTAGCAGCTCCTGCTGCAATACATCTGGCTCTTGCTGCAATACATCTGGCTCTTGCTGCAGCTGAGGCTGTTTTATTATTTTAGGAATAGATTTCCAGAATACAGTCGAGAGCCACTGTTTTAATTTTCTGCCATATTTTATCTTTATATCAGCATGTTTATAGGAAACTAGGTAGTAGGTTGGTAGACAGCAGCCACCCAGGGAGGTACTACTGTCCTGCCAAGTGAGTGTGAAACAAAAGCCTGTAATTGTGTTACATGATGGTAGGATTGTTGGTGTCTTTTTTTTCTGTCTCATAAACATGCAAGATTTCAGGTACGTCTTGCTACTTCTTCTTACACTTAGGTCACGCTACACATACATGTACAACCATATATACACACACCCCTCTGGGTTTTCTTCTATTTTCTTTCTAGTTCTTGTTCCTTTTTATTTCCTCTTATCTCCATGGGGAAGTGGAACAGAATTCTTCCTCTAAGCCATGGGTGTTGTAAGAGGCGACTAAAATGCCGGGAGCAAAGGGCTAGTAACCCCTTCTCCTGTATATGTTACTAAGTGTAAAAGGAGAAACTTTAGTTTTTCCTTTTAAGAATATAAGAACATAAGAAAGGAGGATCACTGCAGCAGGCCTGTTGGCCCATACTCGGCAGGTCCTTTACAATCCATCCCACTAACAAAACATTTGCTTAACCCAATTTTCAATGCTCCCCAAGAAATAAGGTCTGATAACTCTATCCACTCATTTGCAAGTCCCACTCAAATCCAACCCCTCCCACTCATATATTTATCCAACCTATTTGAAGCTACCTTTTTGAACTACTTCTAAGAAGTCATTTTGGGCCACCCCGCATTGGTGGGATACGGCCGGTGTGTTGAAAGAAAGAAGAAACGTGCAAGATTTCAGGTATATCTTGCTACTTCTACTTACACTTAGGTCACACTACACATGCATGTACAAGCATATATATGCACACCCCTCTGGGTTTTCTTCTATTTTCTTACTAGTTCTTGTTTATTTCCTCTTATCTCCATGGGGAAGTGGAACAGAATTCATCCTTCGTAAACCATGCATGTCATAAGAGTCAACTAAATTGCTGGGAGCAAGGGGCTAGTAACCCCTTCTCCTGTATACACTACTAAAGTTAAAAAAGAGAAACTTTTGTTTTTCTTTGTGAGCTACCCTGCCTTGGTGAAATACAGCTGGTTTGTTGAACGAAGTTTAAAGGAATATTGAGCTTGTTTTGATCCTTGATGCAAACCCTGTAATTATCTTTGTGTGCTCCATTAAACAACTAACTGTGTGAAACAATATAAAGGCATTAAGAGGTGTCACAGACTGAGCTCAGGTTTGAATTTGATCAGCATGATTATGAATAACACATTAACAGTACATGCTGCAGCAAGCCCCTGTAGCTTTGGTATTCTTATCTACTGTATTTTTTTTGTTGTGTGCCCAGCTTTGTTTGTAAAGTGTTGGTCTTCCTTGTAGCCTTTGCACCACTGCAAAAGGCTTTTCATTTTGGATTGGATTGAACATAGTCTAAATAAATCACTTGTAACCAACACATTTTTCAGACTAACTTCAGGAGTCTAGAATGGTTACTCAGCAAGCAGCACAGTAAGATGCATTAAACTGACTCACTTGTTCACCACAGTTGCTGTCTAGGAGAGCAGGAAATATCATTTATGTAGCATTATTCATTACATGTATGGTTTTTGTTGACCCCTTGTGGGTTTAGAGCTTTCTAGTAAATATAATTAGTGAAATCTTGATTGAACATTTCCCTTCAAAAGAGGTTCCTTGATGTTGGTAAGGGGCTCTTAATCTTAAGGAACTGAACCTGTGCTCCAGTTCCTTGAATCAGGTCTGACTACCTTTCAGTCCTGCAGGTGCTGTATGACCCATATGGATTTAGCACTCCCCATGAATGTAATAATATTTTTTTTTAACACACTGGCCATCTCCCACCAAGGCAGGGTAACCTGAAAAAGAAGAAATGCTTCCACCATCATTCATTCCATCACTGTCTTTCCTAAGGTGTGGTGATATTACAGCTCAGATGCCCCTCCTAAATGCAATATCCCCACCCCATCTCCTTGAGAGTCCAGGCACTGTACTTCACACCTCCATTCCTTCAGAGTGTAGGCATTGTACTTCCCACTTCTGGGACTTGAGTCCATTTTGTAATGTTGATTAAAAGACAAATAAGGAAAGTGTGTGTCAAGTAATACCACTTGTTTTAAATCCAAATAATGAGGATTTTTTTTTGTGATTGTACAAATACAGTGGACCCCCGGTTTACGATATTATTTCATTCCAGAAGTATGTTCAGGTGCCAGTACTGACTGAATTTGTTCCATAAGGAATATTGTGAATTAGATTAGTCCATTTCAGACCCCCAAACATACACATACAAATGCACTTAGATAAATACACTTACATAATTGGACGCATTGGGAGCTGATCGTAAACCGGGGGTCCACTGTAATTGACAATTTTTGAAACAGTGGACTATGGTATTTCTGTATTTACCCAGCAGATTGTAACAATATCAGACAATTCTTGGAATAACAGATTTTGTTTGTTATTTCTGAAATAAATTAAATTGAGGTCTGTTAGCTCTAGGTTATACTGTGATAATTATACATTTTTCTTAATTTTATTTGATTCATGGTAACTTCATGACAATTACTCAATTTATCAGGGTGTGAGTTTTCCCTGTTTTTCAGGAATTACATTAGGACGTTTTAAAATATAAAGTATAGTATAGGCCTTTAATGACAGTACAGTATTATTAAATTTATCAGATACAAAATTTTTTTAATTTCTGAAGGGTCTGAGCTGAGTGCTTTTTTTGCTTCTCCAGTTTAGTAAAGAATTCACTTCAGAAATATTACCAAATTTATTCTCTATACATCTAATATTTAAAAAATGCCTTATGACATCCACTCCCACACTTCTGGTGCTCTTGCCAAACAAGTTTTCATATTTCTTTATTTCCTTCCAAATCACTTGCCTAAATGAATAACTTTAAATTATTCGTGCATTTTTATTATTTTGTGGTAATGTGAGCATTCATTCTAGATGTTTTGGTTTTCCTAGGTGTTACCCAAAGACCTCCAGGTGACAGAGACTGACAAAGTGCGTTTCTGTTACTCACTGCTGGGCCACATTGTGTATACTGACTCAATAAAGGACCTCACCAACCCAGATTTTCTAGCTGAGCGAGCAGCAGGGAAGGTTTGCTCTACATCGACAAATGTTTCCTCATACTTTAAACAGCATCCAACATTTCCCATCCATCTCCTTATTGGAGATGTCTGCTTGGCAACTAGCTCCATAAACATGACATCGTTTGAGGAAGTGGGAGATTGTCTCACACCAGAAACACCGATCAAAGTAGAGGGAAGTTATCCTTTAGTGCCAATCATGTTGAATCCCTTAGCGTGGTCCCCTGCCAAGGAGCCAGTGCTGGGAGTTGTCATTCAATTGTCTGTCTCACTAGACAATGAGAATGCTGCAACATATTATCCTCCAATGATAAAGAAAAACTTTGGCACTGGGAGTTCTTTAATAATGGTGGACTTCCTCTCCTCTGAATCTAGTGACGAGGCGAGTGATTATGATGATAATGCAATATCCTGGCCGAGCCAGAATGATGGGACCAGCAGCTACAGTGATGAGGGTGGGCAAAGTAAGAAACGCAAGTTAGCAAAGCAGAGAGACTTCTCCAGGTGGCAACATCAGCGTAAGAGTCTCATGTATGAAGCAGCCATGGAGGTTGAGACTTGGAAGGAAGATCAGCAACAATTATTTTGGAAGCAGGTGAGTGTTTTCTTAAAAATGGGCACTGCAGCATCATGGATACAATTCACAGTTGTGATATTTTTCTTAATGCTCTCTTATCTATTTTTCTTCTCTTAAACTTAATGAGGACTGGGTAGTCAGCAAGGTAGGTGTGGTGTGGTCACTGTGTGGATATTGTATGGTAAAGTAGTCATGTGTGTTATATGTATAATGTAGATGTTGCATTGTCATCTTATTGAGTGTTATAGGTATTAGCTGACTTTTTTCAGTACAGCCTCTCCTCACTTAGCGACATACTCGGACTTACAACAGGCTCTCTGACCAGTATTCATATATTAGAGCTGATTTCCTCTATTCTGTTTATTTCAGTATACAGAACACTACTATATAAACATTTAAAAATATACAAGAAATGTTATAAATGGTGCCAAGGTGACATTAAAACAGTATCAAAGATGGTTGACACAAACTCACTACCATTATAGTATGCTCCACACTTAGCGATGAATTTGTTTAACCCTTTCAGGGTCCGTCCTGTAGATCTACGGCTTTACGTTCAGGGTCCAAACCGTAGATCTACGCCATGAGCTCAGCTCACTCTGATAAACTGTGAGTGGTACATTTGGGCCTAGATATGAGAGAATACATCTATGTGGTATGTGTGCACCACATAAAACAGATCCTGCAGCACACTGTGTATAATGAGAGAAAAAAACTTAAATCATGATTTTTTTATTAAAACAGCAACTTTGCAGTGTTTTTTCGTATGTTTTTTATAGTTGTATTTGCGATTTCTTGGTCTCATTTGATAGAATGGAAGACATATTACAGAAATAGAGATGATTTTGATCGGTTTTAGCACTGGAAATGGCTTGAAACTGAGCTCAAAGTAGCGGAAATGTTAAATTTTTGCCGATATTCAAGAGTAAACAAATGACCTCACACGTCTAATACACGTCAGCTGGTGGGTCTAATATACATTCACAAATATGGTGATGATATTTATACAATTATTACAGTATTGCATAACAGTAAATCTTCTATTTTTTGGTGTGAATAAAAATTCATTATGTGAATAAAAAATCAAAATGGAATTTATTTGTAAAGCCTCAAAACATAACTAATGAACAGAGGAAACGTTAGTTTAGCGCCAGGAATGCCTACATTGTTTATTCTGGACCCTATTTTGAAATTGGAATATTTTGAACTTTGTGTTAAATTGGCCAAATTAACAATTTCCGATCACTTTATTTTGTAGTTGAAACAGTTGACTTGGCGATTTCTTGTGCTCAATCGATAGAATAGAAGTAATACTAGTGAAATAGCTAAGAATTTGGTTGATTGGAATAATGTAATTGGCCTAAAATGGGAGTCAAAGTCGGCACAATCGCCGATTCGTAAATGTCGCTGACACATCAAAATTCGTGAGAGCATAATTTCGTCAATTTTCCACCAAATTTCATACTTTTTGTTTTATTACCTTCACAAAAAGATTCTCTACGATTTCATAAGAAAAAATAACAAATTTTTTTTTTTGAAAATTCTTGGACACTGGTGTGTGACTCCAGATTTGGGCCTTGGACCCTGAAAGGGTTAATGATGTGGTCTTAGGAACAGAACTCTGTCGTTAAGTGAGGAGAGGCTGTACTTTAATAAAAGATATAGCAACTTTGCAAGACCAAATAAAACACAAGGAAGAGAAAATAAACTAACAATTGGTGGTGTAATTGCAGTGGAGCACTCGCGAGGCAGAACTACAAAACCATCTGGCATCTGAATGGCAGGCAAGAATCAGCAGCATGGAGGCTCAACTGCAGAGTCGCCTCGACCAGTGTAACACCTTGCACCAAAACTTAACTTCAGCTCTCCTGAATGTAGGCAATAAGGAAAAGAGCATTTCTCTGAGGGAGGAGAAGGTAAGGAATGTGTGGCACTGTTCACGGTATAATGTTAGACAAGATATTTTCTTGGAGACCACCTAGGTGGCGGTCTTCAAGAATATTAACCATAAGGAAATTGTGCTTTTAATTGCAGTTGTATTTTCACACCATTTTCACATGTGTTCCCACTCTTCATAAGTTTAAATTTACTCAATATCCAAAATATTCACTTGTACTACCTTGCATACTATATATACAGGAGAGTCAATTCAAATACAGTTAACCTTACTCTGAAACTCTTCTTGGATAGACATAATACAAGTCAAAAATCTTTTGATATTCCCCTTCAACTCAACTTGAATAAAAACTTGATGCTTATAAAATTCCCTAAACTCTGGAGTTCTCCGATTGAAGATTACAAAAGTAACTTGGCTGCCAGCCACTTTAAAGCTACTATTTAAGAGCACCTCCTTATCTTAATGTGATTCTTGAGAGCACAATACTGTGTCAGGTAAATCCTGAAATGTATTTGTTTTCATCCAGTGCCATCCCAATACCTCTCTTTTTTTTACTTCCGTATATTGTATGATAAGCTGCAGTCCCTTCTTTCAGACGTGGCTGTTGTAATGATCATTTTAGACAGTATGATCTGTCTTTACTTAAATTCACAGCTGCAGAAATAATTATAAAAACTTATATTTCATTACTTTTTTTAATGTAATTTAGTTGCATAGTACCACTCACCCTGTTAGAACTAGACAGTTATAGTTTTTTCTATTTTTTTTCTTTAATGAATTGTAAGTTGTACCTATTTTTAAGTTCCTGTTAATTAAACCTATAAAATATAAAAATGAAACTGTAAGTTTTATGTAATTTTTGTTATGGGAGGTAGACATTGAACAATCATCTTGCTAGATCTCTAGAGGGAAAATAGATTTTTGACGGTTATCTCAAATACGTTATCAAATTAAATATGATGCAGAAGATAGAAAAAATGCAATACTGCCATCACTATTGAGTTTGTTTAGTACTACACACCATTCACAGTTATCTTGCAAATGAGAGATAAAACTAGAGAGCATTTCAGTAAGTCATGGATCATGGGTAATTGATAACCATGGTCCAAAACGAACCATATTTTTTTTTTGTGGGTTACGTACTTGTGAAATCTTCTAGCTCTGTACTACACCATTTACCACAATCCAGATGGATCTTGTGTGCTGTATTTCACATTGTACTGGCACTGCTCTCACTCACACACTTCTCCATGGTGACATTACTCTCACTATCACACTCCTCCATACTGATATTACTCTTGCCTACACACTACCCTTATAGTGACACTGCTCTTACCCACCCACCCCTCTATATTGGTATTACTTTCATACACACCCCTCTGTACCGACACTACTCATCCACAAAGCCCTCTATACTGACATTGCTCTAACCAAAACACTCCTCCCCATTACTTTCACCCATGCTCTCTTTTATACTGACACTACTCATCCACAAAGCCCTTTATACTGATATTGCTGTCACCTACACATTCCTCCATACTGACACTCGCCCCTACACGCACGCACGCACGCACGCTCGCTCACTCACTCACTCACTCACACACTCACACACATCACACACACACACTCACACACTCTCACACACTCTCACACACTCTCACACACTCTCTCTCTCTCTCTCTCTCTCTCTCTCTCTCTCTCTCTCTCTCTCTCTCTCACTCTCATTCTCACTCTCACTCTCACTCTCACTCTCACTCTCTCTCTCACTCTCACTCACTCCTCTCTCTCACTCCTCTCTCTCCTCTCCTCTCCTCACTCTCTCTCCACTCTCCTCTCTCTCACTCTCTCATCTCTCTCATCACTCTCTCACTCCCTCCTCACCTCCTCTCACTCTCTCACTCTCTCTCTCTCTCTCTCTCCTCTCTCATCTCTCCTCTCTCTCTCACTCTCTCTCTCTCTCCTCTCTCTTCTCTCTCTCTCTCCTCCCTCTCTCTCTCTCTCTACTCTCTCTTCCTCTCTCCTCTCTCTCTCACTCTCTCTCTCACTCTCTCTCTCCTCTCCTCTCTCATCTCTCACTCTCTCACTCTCCTCTCTCTCCTCTCTCTCTCTCACTCTCTCTCCTCCTCTTCTCCTCCTCTCTCTCTCTCTCTCTCTCTCTCTCACTCTCCCTCTCACTCTCTCTCTCTCTCTCTCTCTCTCTCTCTCTCTCTCACTCCTCCTCTTCTCCTCTCCTCTCTCACTCTCTCACTCTCTCCTCTCTCTCTCTCTCTCTCTCTCTCTCTCATCTCTCTCTCTCTCTCTCTCTCTCTCTCTTCCTCTCTCTCTCTCTCTCTCTCTCTCTCCTCTCTCTCTCTCTCACTCTCTCTCTCACTCTCTCTCTCTCTCTCTCACTCTCTCACTCTCTCTCTCACTCTCTCTCTCTCTCTCCTCTCTCTCTCTCTCTCTCTCTCACTCCTCCACTCTCACTCTCTCTCTCTCTCTCTCTCTCTCTCTCTCTCTCTCTCTCTCTCTCTCTCACCTCCCTACACCTACCTACCTTCCTTCATACTGATACTATACTCGCTTATACACTTTTCACACTTATATACTATTCTCACCCATATACTACTCCACACTGATGCTACTCTTACCACACTCCTCCATACTGACACCACTCATTCCCTACGCTTATATGGTTTCACAATTTGTAATGTCTGTATCTTGGTGGGAGACGGCCAGTGTGTTAACAAGAATCTATACTCGAGGACTTGATGTACAGTAAATGTGAAAAAATTACTGCAGTTCTGTCTCTCTTTTTACTACAGAGGGAGAAGCTGCTGTATGACCATACAAGTTTAGCACTTGCTTTTAATATAATAATAGAAGTGTTACAAGATTTGTTTAGTTTAATTCATTATATTTTCCTAGAGTGGCAAATTGTAGTGTATAATAATACAAGATATGGTCAGCCCTATGTGGCTAAGATGTAAGATATTTCTAGGGTGTGTATATATAGTATGTATTAATTATACAGTATTACAGGTAAGAGTAATGCAAGAAGCAAATAAAAAGTTAAAGCGTGAGCTGAGGCAGAGAGAAAGTGCATCTGCAAAGATGGACAAGAGGAAGAAAAACAAGAAAATGCAGGATATAGAGGAGCTACAGGAAAAGTTAGAACATGAGAAGAGCCGGAGGAAACAACTGCAAAGACAGGTTGGCCAGTACTTTTAATAATTTCCTTCACTTTATTATTCCTAGATATTATGAAACCTGTAACTTTCAATTCTGTATCATATTGTCCCCAAGGTTAGTTAGTTATGATAGTACTGTTTTCATTGCTCAGCCTTAGGCTAGAGTTCATGGGTGACCATGGCTTACAGGCCTACATAGCCATCAAAATTTAGCTGATGCAACACACAGAAATTGCCCAGTTTCCTCCTCCTTGTTCTGGTACTATTTCTTATGTTTGCTAGTATGGGGTTGATGAGTAGTGGACCATAGATAGACATGGGCCTGTGACTCAAGAAATCGTAATGACACGATTGCAAATAAACCATACCCCCGGCCGGGATTGAACCCGCGGTCATAGAGACTCTATGACCGCGGGTTCAATCCCGGCCGGGGGTATGGTTTATTTGCAATCGTGTCATTACGATTTCTTGAGTCATGTTGACGGCAGTGAAGGGACTTGAGCTAGAGTTCGTCACGGCCACGCTAGCTGGAGATTCGTCTGTAAAAACTTGCATTTGTGGTCACAGAGGTGCCTGTGCTAACTTTCCTATGGTGTAGAAATATACCTAGTTGGATGAATCTTATTGTGGCTAGCTGGTCTAGTGGCTAACGCGACGGGCTGGAGTTTTGAGACTCTATGACCGAGGGTTCAATCCCGGCCGGGGGTATGGTTTATGGGCCTGTGTCTATTTTATCAATCTGTTTGTAAAAAGTAATGCCTAGCATCCTTTTCTATATATATATATTTGTGGCTTTCTGCTCTCCCTGTTGATGGTGCTAAGAAGTCTTAATTTTTTCATTTATGTTCTTTATAACCTTGTCTATGGTTATTGAGTCTCTTTTCCAGCTACAAGCCAACTTGGTCATTTTTTTTATTGTTTTCATCCTCTCTTTGAAACAAGTATTTTTTTTTTTTTTGTGAATCATTTTGTAGCTCATATTTGAATTTTTTTTATCTTTCCCACTTTTTTTTTTCATATTTAGGTATCCTCAGAGGGAGGGCCTTTAAGTGGCTAACTGAATATGTTTTATCCTCCAACTTTTAAGTTTTGTTTCACTCAAAACTTGAGAACCCCTTCATCCTACCAGATTAAATTTTGGAATGTTTGTAAATGGTAATAAGGACCAGATTGTAAGAACAGTTAGCATGTGCCAGTTCCCAATGACCAAAATTATTGACCAATTCCCAACATCCTGGACTGGCTCGGATAACTTCATATGTTAAAAAAAATAAAAAGTTACTTTCCAATTTGGTGATGGCGGAGAGGTGCAAAGTTGATCATTTTTATGTGTAAAAATGTGTGAAATTTTGATTCTGTTTAATCATCACGATCAAGATGTGTTTGCCCTTACTGGATAGCTTCAATTTTAATGGCATTTTATTTAATGGTATTTCAGTTGATGTGAGCCTCTGACGATATGGTAGGCACTATGCTTACTCCCAGGCCCTTCTGTTTAAATGAGCTCTGCAGTCTCTGTCCCCCTAGTCTGTGTCCTTTTGACCCCTTCCCCATTCTTTATAATCTTGCATTGGCTGAGATTAAATTCAAGCAACCACTTTTCTGACTAACCTTACAGTTTATCCAGCTCCTTTTTCAGCCTTTCCCTGTCCTTCTTTGTTTGTATTCTCATTAGTTTTATGTACATCATCAGCAAATAGAGGGACCTCTAACTCAGCTCCATCTGGTATGTTGTTTACATAAACCAGACTAGCCTATACATCCTTCCTGATTGTATTAGACTACCAAATAATTACTACTTTGCCTTCCTTGGCAAGATGTGGGGTACCTCTACAATTTGTAATTTGTTTGGTCAGTCAACTGACTGTCAGTGCTGCCTTAGTCAAGAACGTACCTCTACTGCACAACTTCCTTGTTTAAATTCAGTAAGGGATCAACATATTCGGTAATTGTAGAAGTAGAGCTAAAGTAGATATAGTACCATAAAAAAAATAGGAGTGAATAATTGCAGTGTAATTATGGTATAATGCTAAACTTTGTGGTTGTTAATGATAATACACTGAATATACTCCTCAGATGTTTCATACAGGTGTCTTATATAATTTAGCATTCGTAAGTTAAGTTATAGAAAACCTTAGCTAGGTAAGGAAATACATTCCCTAGTGAATGTGGCTTGCTCTCACTTAGTAGAATGGTGGAAGGCTGGGGTACCGTTCCTGGTTCGGTCAGCTGATGGAGAAAATCTATGATGTTTACCTAAATTTTGTGTGATACTTAATTTTTCTAGATTTGAGAAATGTAATATCAAGGTTTTTGTGAACTATCAAGCAGTTTTGGTTACATATTTCGAATCACATTGCATCAGAATTAAGCTATGTGAAATCTTGGTATAAGAGGGTTTACTGTATTCTGATATCCAGCCTTCACTATAATGTAAATTCTTGGTATAATTTTGTGGTGTTGCAGTGCTAACATAGCAAAGTATCACTTCAGGTACGGGAGCTGGAGGCACTAAACAGAGCATCTGATGATATCTCTTTGGCTGCACGGCACGGCACTGAGGTGAAGATACAAGAGATTCAGTCTCTTAATGAAGAAAAGGCAAGTGATGCTCAAGTTTTCTTGAACCTCTTTCATTATTTGAAGTCTCATTTTACTTTAATCAGTAGTTTGACACATTTAATTTAATGTACAGTATCATTGACAGGGCTACGTACCTCCTAGCTCACAGGGGTTAGGTCCCTAGGATTGATGTGAATCCATAAGCAGCAAATGGGAAAATTTGCTTACCTGAATTCAATAAAAATTTGGGGTGCCAGGGGTAAATGTAAATGGGGAGCCTTTAATTGAGCTATGTGTAGAAAGAAATTTGGTAATAAGTAATACATATTTTATGAAAAAGAGGATAAATAAATATACAAGGTATGATGTAGCACGTAATGAAAGTAGTTTATTAGATTATGTATTGGTGGATAAAAGGTTGATGGGTAGGCTCCAGGATGTACATGTTTATAGAGGGGCAACTGATATATCGGATCATTATTTAGTTGTAGCTACAGTTAGAGTAAGAGGTAGATGGGAAAAGAGGAAGGTGGCAACAACAAGTAAGAGGGAGGTGAAAGTGTATAAACTAAGGGAGGAGGAAGTTCGGGCGAGATATAAGCGACTATTGGCAGAAAGGTGGGATAGTGCAAAGATGAGTAATGGGGGGGTTGAAGAGGGTTGGAATAGTTTTAAAAATGCAGTATTAGAATGTGGGGCAGAAGTTTGTGGTTATAGGAGGGTGGGTGCAGGAGGAAAGAGGAGTGATTGGTGGAATGATGAAGTAAAGGGTGTGATAAAAGAGAAAAAGGTAGCTTATGAGAGGTTTTTACAAAGCAGAAGTGTTATAAGAAGAGCAGAATATATGGAGAGTAAAAGAAAGGTAAAGAGAGTGGTGAGAGAGTGCAAAAGGAGAGCAGATGATAGAGTGGGAGAGGCACTGTCAAGAAATTTTAATGAAAATAAGAAAAAATTTTGGAGTGAGTTAAACAAGTTAAGAAAGCCAAGGGAAAATATGGATTTGTCAGTTAAAAACAGAGTAGGGGAGTTAGTAGATGGGGAGATGGAGGTATTAGGTAGATGGCGAGAATATTTTGAGGAACTTTTAAATGTTAAGGAAGAAACAGAGGCAGTAATTTCATGCACTGGTCAGGGAGGTATACCATCTTTTAGGAGTGAAGAAGAGCAGAATGTAAGTGTGGGGAGGTACGTGAGGCATTACGTAAAATGAAAAGGGGGTAAAGCAGCTGGTACTGATGGGATCATGACAGAAATGTTAAAAGCAGGGGGGGATATAGTGTTGGAGTGGTTGGTACTTTTGTTCAATAAATGTATGAAAGAGGGGAAGGTACCTAGGGATTGGCGGAGAGCATGTATAGTCCCTTTATATAAAGGGAAAGGGGACAAAAGAGACTGTAAAAATTATAGAGGAATAAGCTTACTGAGTATACCAGGAAAAGTGTACGGTAGGGTTATAATTGAAAGAATTAGAGGTAAGACAGAATGTAGGATTGCGGATGAGCAAGGAGGTTTCAGAGTGGGTAGGGGATGTGTAGATCAAGTGTTTACATTGAAGCATATATGTGAACAGTATTTAGATAAAGGTAGGGAAGTTTTTATTGCATTTATGGATTTAGAAAAGGCATATGATAGAGTGGATAGAGGAGCAATGTGGCAGATGTTGCAAGTATATGGAATAGGTGGTAAGTTATTAAATGCTGTAAAGAGTTTTTATGAAGATAGTGAGGCTCAGGTTAGGGTGTGTAGAAGAGAGGGAGACTATTTCCCGGTAAAAGTAGGTCTTAGACAGGGATTCGTAACGTCACCATGGTTGTTTAATATATTTATAGATGGGGTTGTTAAGGAAGTAAATGCTAGGGTTTTTGGGAGAGGGGTGGGATTAAATTATGGGGAATCAAATTCAAAATGGGAATTGACACAGTTACTTTTTGCTGATGATACTGTGCTTATGGGAGATTCTAAAGAAAAATTGCAAAGGTTAGTGGATGAGTTTGGGAATGTGTGTAAAGGTAGAAAGTTGAAAGTGAACATAGAAAAGAGTAAGGTGATGAGGGTGTCAAATGATTTAGATAAAGAAAAATTGGATATCAAATTGGGGAGGAGGGGTATGGAAGAAGTGAATGTTTTCAGATACTTGGGAGTTGACGTGTCGGCGGATGGATTTATGAAGGATGAGGTTAATCATAGAATTGATGAGGGAAAAAAGGTGAGTGGTGCGTTGAGGTATATGTGGAGTCAAAAAACGTTATCTATGGAGGCAAAGAAGGGAATGTATGAAAGTATAGTAGTACCAACACTCTTATATGGGTGTGAAGCTTGGGTGGTAAATGCAGCAGCGAGGAGACGGTTGGAGGCAGTGGAGATGTCCTGTTTAAGGGCAATGTGTGGTGTAAATATTATGCAGAAAATTCGGAGTGTGGAAATTAGGAGAAGGTGTGGAGTTAATAAAAGTATTAGTCAGAGGGCAGAAGAGGGGTTGTTGAGGTGGTTTGGTCATTTAGAGAGAATGGATCAAAGTAGAATGACATGGAAAGCATATAAATCTATAGGGGAAGGAAGGCGGGGTAGGGGTCGTCCTCGAAAGGGTTGGAGAGAGGGGGTAAAGGAGGTTTTGTGGGTAAGGGGCTTGGACTTCCAGCAAGCGTGCGTGAGCGTGTTAGATAGGAGTGAATGGAGACGAATGGTACTTGGGACCTGACGATCTGTTGGAGTGTGAGCAGGGTAATATTTAGTGAAGGGATTCAGGGAAACCGGTTATTTTCATATAGTCGGACTTGAGTCCTGGAAATGGGAAGTACAATGCCTGCACTTTAAAGGAGGGGTTTGGGATATTGGCAGTTTGGAGGGATATGTTGTGTATCTTTATATGTGTATGCTTCTAGACTGTTGTATTCTGAGCACGTCTGCAAAAACAGTGATAATGTGCGAGTGTGGTGAAAGTGTTGAATGATGATGAAAGTATTTTCTTTTTGGGGATTTTCTTTCTTTTTTGGGTCACCCTGCCTCGGTGGGAGACGGCCGACTTGTTGAAAAAAAAAAAAAAAAAAAAAAAGTTATTTTTCAGTTCAGGGGATGTGTACCAAACCCAAAGTTGGCCATCTCCCACCGAGGCAGGGTGACCATTATTTAAATAAATATGGTATCTGAAACAAAATGAGTCCAAATCTTAAACAAAATTTGGACTGGGGAAGTCCTCTAGGAACCTATACTTTGCAACTTTATAGGTTTGACTGCTGGAAATTCATTATTTGTGCAGTGCATACCAAAAAAATTAAGGAAAAATTTGAACACCAATACAAGATAAACACTTGCCAATGAAGGCTGACTTGTTGCCATAATTAAAGTAATGTGGTAGTCTTCTTACACCATTAAAGTATTTATGCCATCTTTAATAAAGAATTCCTAAGGAATTTAAATAATGTCAGAGTAATAGTTTTTTTATGGAAATATGAGGCATGTAAACTTTTGGGGCAGTGCTTGGTGCTCAAAATCAAGACTAGTCAGGATGTTTTTAAAAATTACTCAGTGGATTTATTGGACCATATCCTCTCCCCCATATCATTTTTGTTAAACATGACTTTTGTAATTTCAATAATTTTTCCATTAGAGTAATGTTTGAAGAAAATGTAGATGATGAAATGACCACTTTGCACACTCATCTCAAAATTCACAATCAAAAGCAGCAATTTTTTTTAATCTGCTCAGTGGCTTTGCCAGAGTCCCTATACACTTTTTTTTTTCATTTTGCTTTCCATAGAATTTTAATATTAGCATAATTAGAACAATATTTAAGGTATGTATTCAGCAATAAAATAAGCAAAACCATCTCATGTTTCACACCCAGTTTAAGTGCATGTTTACTGCCCCACTCACTCACCTCCCTGACTCACTCACTCACCTCCCTGCCTCACTCACCTCCCTGCCTCACTCACTCACCTCCCTGCCTCACTCATTCACCTCCCTGCCTCACTCACCTCCCTGCCTCACTCACTCACCTCCCTGCCTCACTCACTCACCTCTCCCTGCCTCACTCACTCACTCACCTCCCTGCCTCACTCACTCACTCACCTCCCTGCCTCACTCACTCACTCACCTCCCTGCCTCCAGTCACTCACTCACCTCCCTGCCTCACTCACTCACCTCCCTGCCTCACTCACTCACCTCCCTGCCTCACTCACTCACTCACCTCCCTGCCTCACTCACTCACCTCCCTGCCTCACTCACTCACCTCCCTGCCTCACTCACTCACTCACCTCCCTGCCTCACTCACTCACTCACCCTCCCTGCCTCACTCACTCACTCACCTCCCTGCCTCACTCACTCACTCACCTCCCTGCCTCACTCACTCACTCACCTCCCTGCCTCACTCACCTCCCTGCCTCACTCACTCACTCACCTCCCTGCCTCACTCACTCACTCACACTCCCTGCCTCACTCACTCACCTCCCTGCCCCACTCACTCACCCACCTCCCTGCCTCACTCACCTCCCTGCCTCACTCACTCACTTACCTGCCTCACTCACCTCCCTGCCTCACTCACTCACCCCACTCCCTGCCTCACTCACCTCCCTGCCTCACTCACTCACCACCTCTCTGCCTCACTCACCTCCCTGCCTCACTCACTCACCTGCCTCACTCACCTCCCTGCCTCACTCACCTCCCTGCCTCACTCACTCACTCACCTCCCTGCCTCACTCACTCACTCACCTCCCTGCCTCACTCACTCACTCACTCACCTCCCTGCCTCACTCACTCACTCACCTCCCTGCCTCACTCACTCACTCACCTCCCTGCCTCACTCACTTCACTCACCTCCCTGCCTCACTCACTCACCTCCCTGCCTCACTCACTCACTCACCTCCCTGCCTCACTCACTCACCTCCCTGCCTCACTCACTCACCTCCCTGCCTCACTCACTCACCTCCCTGCCTCACTCACCTCCCTGCCTCACTCACTCACCTCCTGCCTCACTCACTCACCTCCCTGCCTCACTCACTCACCTCCCTGCCTCACTCACCTCCCTGCCTCACTCACCCACCTCCCTGCCTCACTAGCATCCACCAGTCATTTTCCCATGTGCCAACCACTGACATAATGTAAATATTAAATCTTAAGTTCTTAACCAATCTTTACCAAACACCATGAGTACTCTGTACAGTACTTGTATATTATGAACATAAACACAGCTTGCCAGGAGCAAGGGGCTAGTAACCCCTTCTCCTGTATATATTACTAAATGTAAAAGGAGAAACTTTCATTTTTCCTTTTGGGCCACCCCGCCTTGGTGGTATATGGCCGGTGTGTTGGAAGAAAGAAGAAACACAGCTTGATAAAAAAACTAAACAAGAAAAATATATTATTTATAATTAACCCTTAACCCTTAAACTGTCCAAATGTAGATCTACGCTTGCATGCATAGCACTCCGACCTTGATCTTCTCCATAAGAAACAGTGTAAAAAAAGTAGATCTACGTTCGGAGCGCTATGCCGCAAACGTAGATCTACATTTGGACAGTTTAAGGGTTAAGAATATAATACAGTTGTCCCAATGTTGGAAGAGCGAGTCATTGTTCATAGATAATTAATTGGTTCCAAAGTGCGAATGTCATAAGTGTGGGACCTTGTAACTTGGGGCTGTATTGTACAAGGTCTTAAGAGGGAATTTCTGCATGTTGTATCTGTAGAGCCCATGAAAACTAAATATTTATACTAATTTTTCCCAGGAACATTTGTCAGAACAGTTAGCTGCAGCATTACGGAGAAAACAATATTATAAGTTACAGTGGGTGCGCCTTGCATCGCAGATGCATCACCTGCGCACTACCCACATCCAGGAGGCTCATGATGTTGGGTAAGTCTGTTCTTGGAGAATGGACTTCATGAAAATTATTATACTTTTCATACAACAGTTGTTTAATCCAAGCTTATAAAAGTAGTAAAATATTTGAAATTGCTCATTATTTAATATAAGTAAATTTATTAATTTTCACCTAAAAAGTTTTAGACTTTCATATTATATAATGATATTGGTTTGCACCATATATTTACTTTCATTTTTATTCATTTATACTGAAATTTAAGTTTTGTATACAGCCTCTCCTCACTTAGTTATGTACTCGTTTACCGACACCTTGGACTTACGACGGGCTCTCTGACCAGTATTCACACCTAAATAATGTATATTAAAGCTGATTTCCTCTATTCTGTTCATTTCAGTATACAGTACACTACTGTATAAGCACTTAAAAATATACCAGAAATGTTATAAGTGGTGCAAATGTGACATTAAAACAATGTCAAAGATGGCTGACACAAACTCACTACCATTGTAGTATGCTCCTCTCTTAGTGATGAATTCATTTAACCACTTGGTCTCAGGAACGGAACTCCATATCATTAAGTGAGGAGAGGCTGTATATGAATAACAGCAGTTCTGTAGCATGTCTTACTTTACTAGATACATTTCCAGTATAGTAATAAAGAACTTTATTAAGATTGTTGTTAGTAGTGCAGTATTGTAATATCTGTTCTCTAGTGTTACATTCTCATTTTCAGAATGGATGTGGAACGGGCTTCACCAGAACCATATTTTGTTCATCCACAATCTAAGAAAGAGTTGCAGTACAGAGATATATACACTATGCATGGTGATGGAAGGAACATGACAGGACATGCAGAAATGCAAAGACCAGGGCCAAGTTCTTCAGGACGAACTGCAGCAGTGCTTGAAGAGAGGGAGATAGGCCAGAGGGAGAGATGGAGAAAGGGAGTGGGTCCAGGCAAGAGTTCACAACCAAGCCAAATACTGGAGAGTGTGTTGAAGCAAAGGCAGGAGCTGGAAAGGCGAGTTAGAAGAAACAGTGTTACAGAAGCTGGCAAAGGACCCACTGACTATTCCACAGCCATTAAAGAAGCAGAGCGGAAACTTCGCTCTCTTGATGGCAGGTAACTCGGTGACATAAGAATGGAGACAGAGTGCAAAGAGCAGAGTGGGGTGATGGTACAGATACTAAAGAATGGGATGTGTAGTAAGTAAAGCTGGAAATTTAGAATAATATCTGATGAGGGTTAACTCTCCAGAAAAAAATTGTGGTACTATTATAGTAAATCAACTGCCTCCATCATGGTGTTCCAGAGCCATAAGCAAAATTGCATGTAAAGATACTTTATAGTTATTATCAGAAGTTTCACTGGTCATGTGAAAAATGTAAAGATGACCACAAATTAAGGAAACTATTAGGCCTTCATCCAATGTGAAGCAGGAGTAATTTGGTTGTTAAACTATCGAGGTACCAATCAGAATTTGTTTTTGAGTAATAAATATTCCTGAGCTGTACTTTGCCATGTTTTGCAACTCCCATGTGTGTTGAGTGGTAAAATCCAAGATGTTAATTAGGAGTACAGTATCTTCTGATCAGCCAGCCACTTGGTATTTGTCGTTAGATAAGGACTTAAACATATTTAGGAGTGTCTTGGCTGTTCAGTCAGCTTGCTGCTGTTGCTGCCATTTACTGTCTCCACACCCACAGAATTTCTGGAAGCATGTGATGACATGGGGGCACAGATTTGTATGAGTAGAACTTTGAGGATAATAGCTATTTCTTCAGATTATAGTTTTAGGATGATTAATATTTTTGTATTTTTTCTTACTTATGAAAGGTATTTACAAAAACTACTTAATTTATCATGAATAAATCGGTTTAATTTTTCTTTTTCAAGAGAAAGGTTATTTAGCAAGGTTATGTACAGCATGCCAGTGCCACAGTCTCTCTATTCAGCTGTTCCTGAGGAGTGAACTTTTTCTAAATACAGTACAGTATGTGGCTATCCATTATATATGGCTCTCAAATAAAGTAAATTCACTGCCATTTCTTATTTCCATTTGGCACATATATAGGTTGTTGGTAAGTGTAATAAGTGCTTAAAGTATACAAGAGTTAGCTTGTACAATATTGCTGTATATACAGCTTGATACAAAACATTGTTTTACTTTAATAACAGGAACAATGCAGTGGTAGTGGTGATAGGGACAGGCAGAGAGGGGGTAGAAAGAGAAAAATAATGAAGTACACTATATCAAATTGCGAGGAGTTGCTGTAGTACGACAAACTCGTAAAATGTGCACAGCAACTTGTGATGCATAAATGGATGAAGATGGACGTATGTGTTTTGGCTGTAGTTTTAATTTAATATTCTGCAGTGATTAGTGTACAATAAAATCAACATTTAATAAATTTTCATGAGTAAGTAGTGATTGAGTTACTGCATATGGATTCTTTTTTAATTTATATCAAGATGCTGAGAGGCACTATAATGAAAACTCAAGCATGACTGAATTATAGTCTGTGAACACTCGGAAAGCTCGAAAAAAAATTTGCTCTTCAAATTTCAAGAAATTCTGAAAATTTGAATTTTATAGCAAGTATTTTAAGAAAACTAGTAGTGCTTATTTGACTTTAGGACCCTTACCTAGAAAGTAAAGTGATGACTTGAAAAGATTGTCAAGTCATCCTGACACTAACGTTTCTTGATGGTTCTTCCTCATTGGGATCACAGTAATTCAATTTCAGATCCCTCCAGTAATCTGACTTATTTGCCTTTTCCACAGTTATCTAACGATGGAGTTTAACGACATAAAATATTGAAAGAGACAAATGCAGTATAATGCGGTTCATTTTTTGATAATGTTTTGCCCACACAATGGGCTTATATTGTTATAAACAGACCTACCTGAAGAAAGAGACAATGTGTATATAGGAAACAAAGCAGTGTACAGTGTCAGGTGAAGTGTGTTTAAGCTAACTGCTTGAGTAGACTAAAAAACAGGTTGGAGAAATACATGGAGAATCAGGTAAAAGTATGGAGGAACACTGCAGCTGGCCTACTGGCACATGCTGTGCAGGTCCTCAAATCCAACCCCTTCTCAACCATATATGTATGCCCAACCTGTTTTTGGGCTGTCCAAGGAGTTGGCTCCAACATACCTCGCCAGACTCGTGTCACTTTATATAGGCTCATCCTTTCTCTCCAGGTAGATCTGTTTGTGATTATAGGGCCACCCCACTGTGTGGACAAATTGATGTCAATAAGGATCACATTATACTACAGTTGTCTCTTTTCTGTTCTCTGGTGATTTCACCTTTACTTCATACTCTTAATCCTTATCTGGTACTGATTTGTCCTATCCTCAAGGGAGGTTCCTTGATGCTGATGAGGAGCTCCTGATCTAGGGAATTGGATGTGTGCTCCAGTTCCCTGAATTAAGCCTGAATACACTCCCCCCTCCCCAGGCGCTGTATAATCCTACGAGTTTAGCACTTTCCCCATGATTGTAATAATAATAATGGCACTGATTTGTTACATCAACTATGACTCATCCTTTCTGCTGAAATCTCTTCAGTGCCTCTGCTGATTCCACCATCTTTCACCTTTGCAGTAGTGCTGTATGACCCATACATTGTAGGTTTAGTGCTTATTTTTTTAATAATTTTTCACATTTGCCATACAACCTTTCAAAGTGGATTTCTTGCAGAAGTGAAGAACTCTTAGTCTGAAGAATTTAAGCTTTCCTCCCTTTCCTTTGATCATAGTACCCCCACCTCTCTTTTGGCTAGCAACATAAGATGATACCAGTTGCTGCCACCATTGCTCTTGTGAAACCAAACCATCCTCTTGATGTTCCACCTTTATTGCAGACTCTGCAGTGTTGTGTAACTTTCTTGTTTCCTCTCTGCTGATGTTCTTTGGCTAACACCTCTGCTTTCTCTTTGCCATGTAATACTATATTTTTAATGGGTTTAGCACTTTCCCAAGAATATAATAGTAATAATCTACCATGCAGTACTAAACGACCATTACAAGATGAACTCCTGAATATAAGAAATTGTACAAGAATGGTATACAATACTACCAAGATGAAATTAAGACATGTGCAACATCTGGGTATCTTTATTATTCTGAGGACATGTACATAACTTTCTTCACGGCTACGACAACTACTTCTACAACTAACCCATCTCTTTGGGTAGGACCTACTTCCACTGGGGAATCCCACCTACCAGTGACTATGCCCTCGTCTGCTACACATCCCCTTTCCACCTGACGTTAGTATATAAGTGCCAGGCTCCTTGCCTCTGCTCCAGAATATCCATGACTATGGTGCTCTTTGCACCAACTCCAAGGCTGAGGGACTGATTACCTCATCTTCTGTATACAGTTCTACCGTCTTCAAATTATGTCCTGGAATTTGTACTGATAAAGCCACTTGATGGCGAAATGTCTACAATAAAGATACCCAGATGTTCCAAATGTGTCTTAATTTCAATATAAGAAATTGTGAGGTGGGTATGGTACAAAGAAATGTAAATAATGACAAATGCATATAATTCTGAAGTGAAAATATTTTGCTAACAGAACCTTCATATGAGATAAGGTAAGGAAGGTTGTGATGAAGCTAGTGAGGGAAAAGACTGTCCAAGGAGTTATAGCTTCCTTCCCTTTTGATCAAACCCTATTATGTACCATTTTCCAGGTGCTGAATGACTTACAGGTTTGGCACTTTCCCTGTGAATATAAATTATTAGCTGATGGCAGTATTCATGGGAAAAACAGCAAAGGATTTGAAGGCATTAGCATACTCATCTGTAGCATTCTCCCTCTAAGGGAGGGTTTTCAATGCTGGTGAGGAGCTCTTGATTGAAGGAATTGGATCAGTGTGTGTAGAGCTTTATCACGTGATATGTCTGGAGTCTCGGCTCTACCCAGTGCTAGGTGGGCTAAGAGAAGCTTCTTTAGCAATAAGTTCATTCTTCACTATCATTGGCAGTATGTCATTCAGATCTGCTTCATGGTAAAATGAACATGAATGATGGAATAGAAAAATGAAAATGCAGCATAAAGGCTATGCAGGTGAATGATTAAAAAAAAAAAAAAAAAAAAAGATACAGTAGTAGTGGTGGTGGTAGTTTGGGACTATCACCCTTCAAAAATAGTGCCTTTATGTTGACAAAAAAACTTTTGATCCAAGGTTATGGAACTAATCTCATCAAAGTTGACTGTCCATTCTTCAGGCACTAAATGATTGTCAGGGGATTCCCCTTGAATGTAACACTAGGAGTATCAGAAGTGTCAAGTGTCACCTCCAGAGTAGAAAGCACCTGGAAGGAGACAGTAAAATAAAAGCAATGATTATACATTTTATATTTATATACTGTTTTGCATTTTTTGTCTAAGTACAGTCCATAATTGCATATTACTGGCTAACTTAATACTGAAAATTAAATCTCCCTGAAAATATATATGATCCTGAGCAAACTATCTTAGGCTGGTTAAGCAATATTAATACAGTATCACAGTTTATTAAACTGACTTACCCCACACAAACTAGTATCAATTCCTCACAACTTTTACAACTCCTAAGTTACCTGCTCTGAATATCTACCTCTTTATATTAACCCTTTTATTAAAAAACTTAATTAAGTTTTCCAAACCAAAAATATAATTTTCATCTCTTTCTCCATCAGAGTAAAGGACATGAGCAAAGTCAATCATTTTTACTGTTACTGTGAGAGTGTGCCCACACATTTCCAGGTCACTATTTGCTGCTGGCAGAGGATCACCAGTCATTGGCTGTGGTTTGGGTGTGCACCCACATACACCCAAGCCACCATTTACCACTGCTGTCAAAGGATCACCAGTAGCTGTTTGCAGTGTCTGCTGCCCATTACCCAATTGATTAGCATCATACAAAATCAGTATGGAGCCGCAGCGTATCTTGTAAGTGCGTTGCTTGAGGAACCAGTCATGAATGCAAAGGAGCTGTGTTACAACAGCTTTTTGGAGATCAATGCTGGAAGAGCTGTCACTCTGGCAGAACATCTCCAGACCTGTACAACAAATATTTATATCTTCAATGAACTCTACCAGTTTCATGGATTGGGAGGCATCTCCCAAGAATGTACTCAAGAGAAAAATGCTTAAAGAAAAATTAACACCTGACCTTTCATATTACATGTACCTAACACATTAGCATCCTTCCTCCATGAGCCATGTGTTGTAAGAGACTACTAAAACGCCAGGAGCAAGAGGCTAGTAACCCCTTCTCCTATATAAATTAGATAAATATAGAAAGAAGAAAAATTTTACATTTCTTTTTCAGGTCACCTGCCTCGGTGGGAGATGGCTGATGTATTTAAAAAAAAAGTTAGCACCATTAAAAACTATCATCACTATTGAAAAAACGCCTACATCAGTATTATTACATTCCACGGGTTATTAGGAAACTAGTATAGCAGCATTTTAGCTGTTTCATGGAGCAGGTGTGAAGGAGACTTATAAAGAGGTATGAGTTTATTATGACCTGAGGAGTAGCACCTCTGGATACATACTGTCAGGTAGCAGACCTGGGGCAGAATTATTATAATCATAACCAAGCACTCAACCCATAAGGGTTGCCTAGGGGAGAAGCTGCTGTTTAATATGATATTAATACCAAATCTAGGAAGCTACTTCCCTTCAAGGTGGGTGCCTTGACAATAGTCAAGGGCTCCTGATTCAAAGAACCACCCTCCATTTCCTTGGATTAAACCTGATTGCCTCCCATTCTCTAGATGCTGTATGACCCTTAAAATAGTAAACCTCATGGCAACCTTAGCACCTGCTATCTTATACTGTATGGCCAATGCACCTAAAATATAAATTACATCAATATTTGGGAGAGGATGCTGTGGTCTACAGAGTTATTTGAAATGTAGCATGACAGCTGTTAAAATTACACAATGTTTTGAAGATGGCTAGCTGGTAGTAGTAACATGATCAGATCACTGCACACTATCCAAATACAGTAGATCGTTAGATAACACAGTAGCTACCTTCCTAAAAACAGCGCGTTATCATAAATGCTTGTAAACTGACTGAAGAACATAGGGAAAAAAATAGGGTTACGTTCATCAGATTCCCAAAAATGCTAAACATTTTGAATAGGTCTCAAAATTGTGAAGAACAACGATAATAGTGCAATTGTAGATCTGTGGTGAAGTGTGTGTCAAAGATCCCACATACACATCCTTGCTAGCAGACAGGTGCCTTATTGTTCAGGTTGTCCCACTCATTGCACCTGGATGGATGTTATAAAGGTTAGAATTACTGAGGTGTACACAGGAGGGGTTAGAACCATTGGGATGAGAGAGCTCAGTGTGGGGGTGGGGGATCTAATGGTAGAGAGGTGGGGGCAGGAGCTGGAGGCTGGTAATGGGCAGTGGAGAGCTGTAGGGAGAAAAAGCAACAAGGTGGTGTCATGGTGACTGTGGGGTGGTGGAGTGGGTGATGGGTGACTAGATGAGTAAGTGTGCAGCTGTTAGTGTGGGTGGTAATAAGAGTGGTGGGTGGCTACATGACTAGGTGTGAACAACGTGTTAGTGTGTGGAGGCTGTGGAAATGTGGGTTAGGTGTGGGTGTGAGGCTGTGGGAGTGGAGCTGTTTGGGCTTGAAGCTGTAGGTGAGTGGTGTGGGTGAAAGGTGTGGTTGTTGGAGGCCTATGTGTGGATGATGGGTGACTAGGTGGGTGAGTGTGCAATTAGTGGTGTAGGCAGTAATGAGGGTGGTGGGTGACTTAGTGATTAGGTTTGTGGATGGCATGTTAGGGTGAAAAGTTGAGTAAGGTGTGGGTGTCAGGTTGTAGGGAAAATAGTGGATGAGGGCAGGGGCTGGCAAGGTGTGATCTTGAGATAGAGGAAATATGGCTGTGGGAGAATGGTGTAGGTGGGGGAAATTGTGGGTGGAGACTGCTAGTTGGGATGGTGTGGGGAGGTTTCTGGTTGGGATGGTGTGGGGAGGCTTCTGGTTGGGATGGTGTGGGTGGAGGTATGTAGCCATGGAGAAGTTGTGTGGGTGGGAGTATATATTTCATTCTTCTCAGGTCACAACCTGGGTTACTCTTTGTATAAGATCATTCACTAACAAAGGGTGAGTATGGTATTGGATGGCTATGAATGAAGCACTAAGTGAGGGAGGCTGTGTATATCATGTAGGCCTCCCCTGTAAGACCATGGATTTGTCCTGAGGCTCATTGTGAGACAAAGGAGAAAGAACATGGTGTGTGCCACATTTTTCCTTATATGTACTCCATCATGTAAACCAATTTTTGCAGCATTTTGCCAAAAATAAGCCACAATTATGTATTTGTTAGAGCAAAAATGTGTTAACAGATCATGTGTTATCTGACAGTCTACTGTACAGTACTGGCACCATGCTGTGCACACACATGAATGACCTCACATAAAACCAACTAACCTTCAAACACTTGAGTGACAGTGAGTCGTTTGCATGCATCAGGCCGCAGTTCAGTGATCAGGTGACCATTTTTGTGGTGAAAAACTCGCAGGCCAGTCAGACAGAAGCCCAACTCTCTCTGTGTGGCATATTTAACCTGTGAACCACCATTAAAAGTTACTAGCATCTCAACTACCACTTTTACTGAAAACAGACCATAAAAATATAATAGCATGGTTGAGATGCTGCAGTCTGGAGGGTCATTCCAGTAGGAATATCTTTGCACTTATGGTAAGTCAACCAGAGAATGAGTGATGGTAAATGTGTTTTCTTTTTGGGTCACCTTACCATGGTGGGAAACAACATGTGTTAAATATTTTAAATAAATTTCAATTACAAGGAAAAAAGACTGAATGGCCTGAAGATGAAATGGAAAATAAATGGTTACAATGGCTGTAATATAAATTTTATGCATAAGCACATTAGAGTAGCAACCCAAGCTAGTTAAGCCAACACACTACCAATACTAGACCTACCTAATATTTACCAGAAAAAAACTTAATTGTAAAATATTTGAACTGGCTTAATAAAAACTATCATATTCTGTTACATTGACACATGCTAGATGGATGCTTTAAGTTCCTACCTCAATAACCACCTCCTTGCCTTCTTTTCAATCTTTCCTCGGACATCCCTCACAAAACTTTCCATTCACCTTACCTTTATACACTATCCTGATCAATCTATCTTCTGCTATTCTTTATAAATAAAAATCATACCCATCTCAATAACTCTGCTTCATGACATATATTTTACACATCACCATACTATCTTCTAATCTTCACTCTTCATAACAGAATAATGTCAACAACAGCACTGCATACTGGTTCTTCACTGCATCGAAGACCATACATCACACCCATACAAGTGATGCCACTACCAGTTTTGATACAGTGCTCCTTTTTTGCATATGGTGAAAAATTTCTTTCCAGATCTGCCACTCCAATTTGGTACCTTCTCTCCTTCATCTATTCCATGATTCACTTCATCTTTCATAGACCTATCTGTCAGCAGATCTACTTCCAAATACACAGTATCAAAATACATTCACATAGTCTGTACTCCTTACCTCTAATCTGATATTTAGGCTTTAATTTTATACAGTGGAACCGTGACTTACGATGTTAATCCGTTCCTGAGAGCACATTGTAAGACAAAATTATCGTAAGTCGAATTAATTTTCACCATAAGAAATAATGGAAATCAAATTAATCCGTTCAAGACACCCAAGAGAATAAAAATTTTTTTTTTACCACATGAAATATACATTTTCCTACACAAAAAAAAAGGATACATGCACAATATATATTGTGCATGTACTAGTGTACTAAATGAAGAATATGTGACACTTACCTTTATTGAAGATGTAGTGATTAATGATGAGACACTGTGTCCTGGGAATGCCTTTTCCTCCTGAGTAATGTAGGTCCTGGTTGGCATTTTCTTCCAGAACAGGCCTTATCACACTGTGTATGCCACTATGATTCTTAAATCTCTCAAATATCCTGGGTGGCTAACCCTCTGGGGTTAATTGTTTCTCGGTATTCTCGATAAGCCACACCAATAACAGTCTTTCCACATCTTCAAGTAGTACAGCTGACCGTGATGCAGCAGCAGCTGACCATGGTGCAGCAGCAGCTGACCGTGGTGCAACAGCAGCTGACCGTGGTGCAACAGCAGCTGACCGTAGTGCAGCAGCAGCTGACGGTGCTACAGCAGCAGCAGCAGCTGATGGTGCTACAGCAGCAACAGCAGCAGCTGACAGTGCTACAGCAGCAGCAGCAGCAGCTGACCGTGGTGCAGCAGCAGCTGACCATGGTGCAGCAGCAGCTGACCATGGTACGATAGTATTTCTCATCCTTTTTACCACAGGGTTGGCACTAGAAGCTTTCTTTGGGCCCATGGTGGCTTATCTAGCAGTTACAAGCACTAAAAACACTGGAATAATACAAAAGTTATCTAATGTACGCGTGCAACTGTCCACCCTGGCTTGTAAACAATGTCACACTAGCTCAGCTGAGGCGCTCAGGCCAGACGGCTGCGTTCGGAACAAATGATGTAAGTCAAGTTTTTCAATGTAGGTCAGGGTCAAATTTTTATGCTGATGAGCATTGTAGGTCGGTTTTAACGTAGGTTGAGGACATCGTAAGTCGGGGGTCCACTGTACTTTTTTATTCTCTTCTACTAAATGCTTATCATATTACAAAATATATGCTGGAACCAATAAGTAAAATTGTCCTAACTAAAGTAAGCATTTACTGAACTGCAGTAATGAACAGGTAAACTATAGTCTTTATTGCTTAAAGTTTTGCATATTCCCTCAATGATGTGTTCTGTCCTGTGCTCAGTGATGGCACACACCAGATCTGGAAAACATTCTTTTCTCACCTTCTGTCCTGGAACAGTTTCCTCTACTAGGTGAGCCAAGGTGTTACTTGTTAAACATCTCAAATCCAGCTCAGTCTCATAAGTTTTATAAGTCTGATGCAATTCAAGTTTATTTTTATCAGTGTAAACTTCCAACTAAACTCTGAACGGTTAAATCCTGGCTTTATCTCCACTGCTGGATTCACTATCTTTTTAGTTTTTAAATCTGCAGCATGTAAGCCTATTCTCAAACTTTCCAACCCAGCCACTGTTCACTTTAAAATCATTTATATTAGGCTGACCTCATACTGAGGTCCTCTTCAGTAGCCTACTGAAGATGATTTCAATGTGATGCCACAATGCACAGTACTTATTTTATTTCCTCCTTGTGTGCTGGTTTATGCCACTGACCAGTATTTATTATACTTGTGTGTTCAAACCTAAATTAAAGTTTATGAACAGAGAAAGGGTAACCAAGTAATCCTATCACAATTCAAAACTTAAAAACAGATTCATTTTATAAGTTGTATATATGATGATTTTATAAGTTGTATATATGATGGTAGTTATCCATGGTGAAGTGGAAAAAGAATCCTTACCCTGTAAGCCAAATGTGTTGTTAAGGGCAACTAAAATACCGGGAGCAAAGGTCTAGTAACCCCTTCTATATAAATTACTAAACGTAAACAGAAGAAATACTTTTGTTTCTTCATTTTTGGGTGACCCTGCATTGGTGGGAGACAGCCGGTGTATTAAAAAAATAATGGTAGTACAATACATACCTCCCTATGTTCAGTCAATGAATACATTAAGTATACACACACATCACTGATCATACAACAATACAGTATAGTACTGGTTATCAAGCTTTCTTTAGGGACTTTACCTGTTGAATATACAATGTTCAAGGAAAAAAAAAACATACATTTTGGTTATACTATAGTAATTTAATAGAAGCTTCATGAAACAATGAGGAAAAAAGTTTTACAATGGAGAGAAATAAAAATGTTTATTTCCTTGAAAAACTTACAATGTGTGGTTTATTTATTTATTTTTTTTTTTCAACAAGTCGGCCGTCTCCCACTGAGGCAGGGTGACCCAAAAAAGAAAGAAAATCCCCAAAAAGAAAATACTTTCATCATCATTCAACACTTTCACCACACTCACACATTATCACTGCTTTTGCAGAGGTGCTCAGAATACAACAGTTTAGAAGCATATACGTATAAAGATACACAACATATCCCTCCAAACTGCCAATATCCCAAACCCCTCCTTTAAAGTGCAGGCATTGTACTTCCCATTTCCAGGACTCAAGTCCGACTATATGAACATAACCGGTTTCCCTGAATCCCTTCACTAAATATTACCCTGCTCACACTCAACAGATCGTCAGGTCCCAAGTATCATTCGCCTCCATTCACTCCTATCTAACACGCTCATGCACGCTTGCTGGAAGTCCAAGCCCCTAGCCCACAAAACCTCCTTTACCCCCTCTTTCCAACCCTTTTGAGGACGACCCTACCCCTCTTTCCTTCCCTATAGATTTATATGCTTTCCATGTCATTCTACTTTGATCCATTCTCTCTAAATGACCAAACCACCTCAACAACCCCTCTTCTGCCCTCTGACTAATGCTTTTATTAACTCCACACCTTTCTCCTAATTTCGCACTCCGAATTTTCTGCATAATATTTACACCACACATTGCCCTTAGACAGGACATCTCCACTGCCTCCAACCGTCTCCTCGCTGCTGCATTTACCACCCAAGCTTCACATCCATATAAGAGTGTTGGTACTACTATACTTTCATACATTCCCTTCTTTGCCTCCATAGATAACGTTTTTTGACTCCACATATACCTCAACGCACCACTCACCTTTTTTCGCTCATCAATTCTATGATTAAACCTCATCTTCATAAATCCATCCGCCAACACGTCAACTCCCAAGTATCTGAAAACATTCACTTCTTCCATACTCCTCCTCCCCAATTTGATATCAATTTTTCTTTATCTAAATCATTTGATACCCTCATCACCTTACTCTTTTCTATGTTCACTTTCAACTTTCTACCTTTACACACATTCTCAAACTCATCACTAACCTTTGCAATTTTTCTTCAGAATCTCCCATAAGCACAGTATCATCAGCAAAAAGTAACTGTGTCAATTCCCATTTTGAATTTGATTCCCCATAATTTAATCCCACCCCTCCCGAACACCCTAGCATTTACTTCTTTTACAACCCCATCTATAAATATAATTAAACAACCATGGTGACATTACACATCCCTGTCTAAGACCTACTTTTACCAGGAAGTATTCTCCCTCTCTTCTACACACCCTAACCTGAGCCTCACTATCCTCATAAAAGCTCTTTACAGCCTTTACTAACTTACACCTATCTCATATACTTGCACATCTGCCACATTGCTCCTCTATCCACCCTATCACATGCCTTTTCTAAATCCATAAATGCAATAAAAACTTCCCTACCTTTATCTAAATTACTGTTCACATATGCTTCAATGTAAACACTTGATCTACACATCCCCTACCCACTCTGAAGCCTCCCTGCTCATCCGCAATCCTACATTCTGTCTTACCTCTAATTCTTTCAATTATAACCCTACGTATATTTTTCCTGGTATACTTATATAAACTTATTCCTCTATAATTTTTACAATCTCTTTTGTCCTCTTTCCCTTTATATAAAGGGACTATACATGCTCTCCGCCAATCCCTAGGTACCTTCCCCTCTTTCATACATTTATTAAACAAAAGTACCAACCACTCAACACTATATCCCCCCCTGCTTTTAACATTTCTGTCATGATCCATCAGTTCCAGCTGC